AAAAAAAAAATGATTGTTCTAGTCTTTTGTTCTTTCTAATCGTTATATTTAACATTGATTTTAACAAGAAAAATGTGAAGGGTGAATACTCTGATAGTTGTACGCAAAAAGAGAACAACGATGATTCGAAAAGTATTCACGAGCAAATCACTTTGTCACGTCTTTTTTTTACCAATCATTATTCATCATTTGACCTCTACTTTGAATTTTCATCCTATAAATAGAAGTAATTCAAAAAATTAAAATATTATTGATATAATCAAAATTTTCGTTATTTTTTATTACAATAAGAATTTTTTTTTTAAACAACCAATCAAAAATAAATCTTCAACTATATTTCTAGATATCTATACAACCAATTTTTCTTCATACTATCAATATATTATTGAGTAAATCATTATTATGTCGTTAAATTTATCATCTGATGATGATAATGATGAAAATTGTCTTGATCGAAATAATACTGAAATTCTTACTGTACAAAAATCTTTAATTCATAAACATCCATTATTTCCTATACTTACTTATGTACTTGAACGATGTGAACAAGCAACATTTAATCCATCACTTTTAACAACAAAAGATGATAGTCAGACATCATCCTCATCCTCATCATCATCATTTGAGCATAATTTAAAAATATTCTTATCAAAAAATAATGATATATTAAATATAACTCGAGATAATAATGATTCAGCATCAATAATCGATGAATTTTATATTGATGCAATGCAAGTACTTCGTATTCATTTACTTGAATTAGAAAAACTTAGTGATTTATGTGAAGATTTTTGTCAACGTTATATTGCTTGTCTTAAAGTTAAATTAAATCCAAATAATTTTTTTACTGATGATGAAGAAGACGATGACGAAGAAGAAGAAGAAGAACGTGATGATGATAATGAATGTGAAAATTTCGAATTGCATAATGATGAAGATTTTGAATCAACGGAAGAAAATGAAAATGATTTTATGTTTAATCAACAACAATTCAATAATAAACATATTTTAAAACTTCAACCCCATAGGTATGATTTGTATTGAATAACTAAAACTAAAATATTTGTAATTTCGATTGAATCAAAAATATATCTGATTGTTATAGTTATTTTTTAAATAATCGACACATGAGATTTAGTTTAAAAGTTATTAGAAATATGATAGTTTCATATGAGCTTTCGTTCCTGTAATCTAAATTGATCCAACTAGCAGTTGGATTTAGGTTGAAATTAGTTGAATCTGGTACGGATTAATCTTTGAAAAGTATCACAGTCATTTTCTCCCTGACAAACTCCACTCTCGATGTATATTTTCATGATTAATTCAAAAAATCATTTTGTCACAAAGTTATTAGTTAATATTATCTTTAATTTACATAGTTGAAAAGTTCAATAATTCTGAAAGTCTCTAAAATATGAATAAATTCTTTGATGTCTAAGTAAACCATTGTACCAACACATTTCTAAATAACTATAAAATTCTCAATAATTTTATTTCAAATAATACTAAAGAATCAATAACATTCAATGTGACAGTATTGAGATAAATAATAATCCTTTTCCGTTTCTGATAGACACATTCTTAGAGGAACAAAGAAAATAATTTTCATTCCAACAAGTACTTTTAAAATAATATAGACATTAATAATCATTTTACCTTGTATTCTCGTTGCAGAACGTCTCTAGCAATAGGATATACAAATCAACATTCATATCATTACTTTTATATCGTATGTCAATGGATAATAGTTGTTGAAAAAAAGAAATAAAAGAACACGACCATATTACCATAGTTTCTTAGTAAAGTTAAAGTTATAATACTTGATATTTTACAGTTTTATAGTATTATATTGAACTATTGAGATTTTCATGATTCTATTTTGATATGTATTTTTGCTTTTCTGCCAATAACAAAATAACAACGAATAGTTTCTTTCTTGACATAAAATATAGAGATTGCAATTGAATCAAAGTTATACAAATATATATGAATAGTACAAGAATAGATGCTTATAGTACAAATAAAATTTTCAAACAATGACATATAATATTGACATATCGTTCGAGTTTTTTTTTTAAATTCATTTTTAAATAGTATTTATTGATAAATCATTATATGCGTCATCAAAAACTAGATTCTCTTATTCACATTAGAACTCTGACATACTATCAATAGTCAGATTATAGTCATGATTTTAACGGTATTAAACTAGTATGACACTTTATCAAATAAAAACTTAAAAGAAATGAACTATAGACAATCCATCTGATGTCTATTAATAAATACTTTTTAAAAATGTATTGGAAAAAAACCTCAAACGATATGTCAACACTTTGTATGTTTATTTAAAAATTTTATTTGTATGACAACCGTCTACTCTTGTATTATTCGTATATATTTGTATAACTTTGTTTCAATTGTAAACATTTTCTCATTGGTAATTGATAACAATTTCAAAAGTTTTATCGAATAACTATATTCGAAAAAACACTAATCTAGTATTAATAAATAGATAAAATTTTTGAGATCAACTTCAACTTCTTCGGATTCAAAAAGTTGAATCTACATAGAACTCGATCTGTTCCAACAGTTCTTTTATGGAGTTCATCGGAACTGTTGACGCTGAATTGTCTTCATTTTAAATGTTACACATCTAATGATAAGATAGAAGTGTTAGAAAAAAAAAACACCAGTAAACAATAATCAATGTGTTTATTTACGGTTATTATTCGATGTATCTTTTGTTGCTTTGACTAAAGTAAATTTTTTTTATCTATTGAAGTATAAAGTTTTAATATGTCATAGTTATCCCAATTCAACAAATTGATCAATTGTGATAGTTAAAATTCAACGTAATTGATACGTAATCCTATAAAACAAAATATCTTGTTGAAATGTTACATTACAAAAGCTCATATGTAACACAATTTTCGGAACTAAAATAGATGCGTTATAAAAATGGATTTGAGAATAAATCAATTGATGAGATAATTCAAAATATAG